ATAACAGAAAGACCCAAATCAGTATCAATATAAAGAAGAGATGAATGGGGTGAAGTCTAAGAGGATCCCTAACATGGAGCTTTGGTGTTCCAGAGTGTCATGATACCTTCCATGTGTATCAATATCTTTCACCAATCAGGAAATTCTAGGAATTTCCATAGCCAGAGTCTGTCTTGGCTTTGTTGCATACTCAGGTTGGGGCCTTACTGAATATGTATGATTGATTAAATTATATTCTCCTTCCTTCCTGAATTTAGCTGACAAAGTGGTCTTTGTGGCATGGCAGCCCCTCCTGTTTTTGTACAGATCCTCAAGTGTTGTTGTGTAGAGGTTGTAGAAAATAAAGGCATCTTAGTTACTCGTGAGATTCCAAGGGTTCTCTTTCTGGAACCAAGGGACAAAGGCCAAATTGAGTTCTTAATATCCTTTCCTTGGAAATACAAACTGGATTCTTCATAGTTAGGGCCAGACCTTTGAAACATGCTTATGTGTGTTTGAGCTTAACCATAGAGGAGTTAGCTGTGTGTGTGCTACAGTAAAGATAACACACTTTCTTCTGAGAGAGGTATATCTGATAAAAGTATATCAGAGGTATATCTGATAAAATTGTACAAGCATGAATTTAAGTTTCTTGAAATAATGATAACACTGTTAGAAAGCTTTCTTTAGTTTTAAGAACCTGAGTAGGGGTGCGACTTTATCCTACTTAAAAAAAAAAAAGAATAGACCATTTACCATTGTGTTATTTGACTCATGGCAATGCCAGGAGTTTCAGAGTAGAATTGCACTGCATAGTGTTTTCAGTGGCTTATTTTTTGGAAGTAGATAACTAGGCCTTTTGAGGTACCTCTGAGTGGGCTCATACTACCAGTCTGTCAGTAAACAGTTGAGTCCTTAACTATTTGTGCCACTTAGGGACTCTGTTTTATCCTATTTACCTTATTCCCATCGAGGTGATTCTGACTCATGGTGTACTAGTTTAGATTGTGTGTCAATTTGGCTGGGCCATGATTCTGAGTGGTTTAGTACTTACGATGTCATCTTCCATGGTGAGATCTGACATAGTGTAATCCTCCTTGATGAGGTCTGGTATGAGCAGCCCATCAGTTGAAACAGTTTCCTTCCAGGTATGGCCTGCTTCCAATATATATTGAAAAGCTCTGGCACAGTTTTCTGCTCAATCTGGATCTTGCATCTAGTTCGTCATCATTCATCCAACCTCTGGTTCTTAGATTTGAACTAGTGGCCTGCTATATTGCCTGCCGATCTTGGAACCATTGCCTTTGCAGCTCATGAGTCAACAGCCTGCCATCTTGCCTGCTGATCTTGGGTTTGTGGTTGGGCAATCCTACTTCGTAGTGATACTGCCTCGGAAACCCAAGGAGGGGTCGCTATGAGTCGGGGCCGACTCAACGGCACATAACAACAACAATAAATAGCTACTTGAGTAAGGAAAGCCTTCTGCTTGATGTATGAGCCACAGACTTAGGACTTACCAGCCACTACAACTGCATGAGCCATTTCCTTGAGATCTATCAGTCAATCACTCTCTTCCTCCCTCTCTCCCCCGTCCCCGTCTTCTCTCTCCTCTCTTTCATTCGTATACATACATGTATATGTGTATGTATACATACACATACACACACACACACACACACAAATATATATATGTTGTTAGGTGCCATCAAGTCAGACCCGACTCATAGTGACCCCTCCTTGGGTTTCCGAGGCGGTATCACTACAGAAGTAGATCACCCAACCTTCCTTCTGAGGAGCAGCTGGTGGGTTTGAACCACCAGCCTTCTGGTTAACAGTCAAATGCCTTAGATACTACACCACCAGAGCTCCTATGTGTATATATGTGTGTGCGTGTGTGTGTCTATATATGGGGTTCACTGGTTTTGTTTCTCTGGAGAAGCCCATTTTAAGACACATGACTATAGCTTTTAAGAAACAGATTGCCAGGTCTTTCTTCCGAGGTGCCTCTGGGTTCAAATTGCCAACCTTTCTGGTAGTAACCAAGGGTTTAACCATTTGTGTCGTCTAGAAACTCCTTTTATCCTACTAGAGAACAGTATTTGGTGTTTCTGAGCATCCTACCTTTAAATGCCTTGGTTCTTGGTGGTGGTTAGTACAGATAGGGTTCTATTTACTTTCTAGTTGATGACCAGAGCCCTTGTTTTTAGTGATTCTTGTGACCTGTCAGGAACTTACTTTGCATTTTTGGTATATTTAGAAGCCACGTATTGTGAGCACATGTTGAGCTGTAAGCACTTGAACATTTGCTCTATGTTAGGTGCTATCCCAAGATGGATGAAAAGGTAAGACTCAGTGTTGACTCTTAGGAAGTTAGTCTGGGGAGAGATAGATGTTCATATTGTCCAGGGCCCTGTCTGAGGCTTGGGTAAGCAGTAAGAAAAAGGAAGGAATAACCAATGAGGAGGGGAGCTGGTGATGAAAGCTTCACGGAGTAGATACTGAGCTGCGTTCTAAAAGGGGAGAAGGCATTTCCACAGGGAAGCAAGAGAGGAGCATGGAGCCATGGGCCAGTGCAGCTCAATGAGACTGCAGATAGTTTTATGCTTCACAGAGGCTAGGGATGGGTGCAGGTTTGGGCAGAGGTCCTGTCTTTGAGGATTTTATTATGCTACTATTGTTATGTTTTATCCCATAGTGATGAGGGACCATATTAATCATGGAAGATACATGATTGGATTTGAACTTGCCACTCTTGTCAGTTTGGAGGACAGAAGGAGAGGTATGAGATTAGATGTGAGACTGTCATCAACAGCCCATGTAGGGCTTGAAGTAAGGCAGTGGCATTGGATATGGTAAACACAAGACAGCTTTGAGAAATAGTTATTGAAAGTATGTATTGTGGGGAGAGAGATTGCAGTCTGTCATGAGTCTGATGTCTTCTGGAGGAGGATAGAACTGGGCCACTGAGGGTGATGGAGCAGTTTGGCATTGAAAACATTTTTAATGGAAATTTTCAAACCAACACAAAAGTAGAGAATAATATAATAGACTTCTATGGATTTGTACCCAAGCTTAATAATTACCACCTTTCTGTAATGGAAACATCTATGTCCACATAGCCACTATGGCAATTTTAACTAGGTGTGCAACTCCCTTTTCAGGTCCCTGGGTGGTGCAAAGGTTAACGTGCTTACTTAAAGGTTTGAAGTTTGACTTCATCCAGAGACACCTTGAAAGAAAGGCTTGCTGATCTGCTTCTGAAAAACTAGCCATTGAAAACTCTATGGAGCAGTTTACTCTGACACACCTGGGGTCGCCATAGGTTAGAGTCAAGGCACCAACAGCTGGTTCACTTTTCTAGACCCAGTGACCATTCTGTGAGTTTAGAGAATTCAGCTTAGACCCAGGCTTCTCGTACTGGGATCCACATACCTCTGCAGGCTGAAGCCATGGGATCAACATGAGAAATCTTTTGTGGAGTCTTGATTTTATTGGGAAGTGTTTTTTTTTTTTTTTTTTTTCTTTTTAGGGGAAAATGTTTAATTAGTGTTGCTCTGACAAGAAATATACCACAAATGGGATGGTCTTAACAAACAGGAGTTTATTCTTACAATTTGGAGCCTTTGAGTCCAAGTTCAAAGTGCCAGGCTCTAGGGGCTGGGTGAAAGCCCCTCAGCCTTGTGCCTCCAGCTCCTAGCCCACTGGAGCTAGAGGCTTTTCTTCACTCAGACAGCTGCTAGCTGCTGAGGCTGCCAAGCCCAAGGTTGACAAGTAAAAAGGCACAGTCCCGATGTTACTAAACCACATGGCAGACCATTAACTTAAGTCCATTGTAAGTCTCAAGGTCGGCAGAGCATAGCAGGCTGCTGAGCAACAACATGGCTACATGCAGGGTCCAAGCGTGCCATAAGCTAGAGACCATACCCAAAGCCTTCTTCTTATATACGGGAAGCAGACCACATACCCAAAGGTAGCTACTCAGCTGTTTGTGGTAGATCCCACCATGGAGTTGATTGCCAGTCTCCTCATGGGGATTAACTACCACCAGCTGCCCAGCCACTCATCCAGGCCCAGCCAAGTTGGCACACAAACCGAACTACCACAATTAGTAAGTAACACACTTTAATATTAAAACAAACATGGAAGTATTATGGAACTGATGGTAAATTTTGTATAAAATTTTATGGCAGAACATGAGATTTCCACAATGTTCATCTATGACCAGTGTGCAGTCATTTTCAGACCAAACACAAGGCCCAGGGCAAGAGGGATCCTCACTTTCTGCTGCCTTGGACGGTGCTTTTGAAGGGATGTTTGACACCTGTGAGCTTAGGAAATCTTGAGTCGCCTTCAGCTCTGATTTTTCTAATATTGTCATGTTCACAAAGTAGACACAGACTAAAATCTTCGAATAATTGTGGATGTGTCTGAAACAACTCATGACAGTGTGTTTGGTTTTGTTTTTTTAACAGAAGAGGGAAAGGGGTTCTGCCACTGTGCTTTGGCAGGTAGACAGCTGGGCTTTGTTCTACTGAGCTGGAGGGAGGGATTACAAGAGGCCAGGGCCTGGGCTGATGGTTTTGCAGTATGTGCATAGTCAAAATTTAGGAAATTGTGTATATTAAATATATAGTATATTGTGTATCTATTATACCTCAACAAAACTGTTAAAAAAATTTAATGCTTAATACTTTGATCAGCGTTTAATGTACTTTACTTTGTGTGGTTGACTCTCCCCATTATTCTGTTAGTGGGTAGAATTGTCAATTACAGGTGAGGAAGTAAAGCTTAGGCAAGGGTACATAAGCTTACTCAGCTGGTTGATTGCAGACCAAGACGTGTGGCTGGCAGGTATGCCTGACATATGAAGTCTCCACATCTAGTCCTATATTCGAAGATACTCCTTTTCCATTATTCTTTAGGGAAACTACACTTATGTTCTCTTACTGTCTTCTTCCTACCAGCATTAGCAGGAAACAAGCGCTGAGTGGTTTGGAACTTGTGTCTAATGTTTTCCATAGGGCACAGTCTTTCGCAGAGCGCCTGCGCCTGGGGATTGCCGTGATTCATGGGGAAGCGCAGGATGCTGAGTCCGACCTGGTGGATGGGAGACACTCCCCACCCATGGTTAGGAATGCTGCCGCCATCCATCCCAGCCTGGAGATCCCCTGTGAGTGTGCCACCTGGCTCCATGTCAACATCTGTGCTGCTCTCCTCATTGGTTCTAAGGCTGACTTCATTTTGTTTTTCTTTTCAAATATGAACTACTCTTCTCTTGTTCTGTTTCTTGGCCAAACTGATAGCACTTTTTCTGACTGGATGTAGCAAGTACTCCTTGGATGGCCTGGGAGTGGTACAGCCCTCTGGACAGCAGTTTGTTCAGTCATAGCAGGAGTGATGATATGTCCAGACTATTGTGACCCAGTGATGACACTCTGGAGACTGTCTTTCTGATTTGTTTTCCTTCACTCACTCACTCACTCACTCACTCACTCACTCACTAATACATTAATTCAGTAATACATCCTAAAGGACAGTTGAACATATGCAAAAGGAGTTTTATGCACAGTTATTAACTGTAAAGTTACTTTTAATGAGAATTACTGGTAAAGTCGAAATGTTTTTACAGAGGGTTTAAAAAAAAAAAAAAAAACTGCGATGGAGTCGGTTCTGACTCATAGTGACCCTTCCTTGGGTTTCTGAGGCAGTATCTCTACGGAAGTAGATTGCCCAGTCTTCTTTCCAAGGAGTGGCTGGTGGGTTTGAACCGCCAGCCTTCTGATTAGCAGTCAAATGCCTTAGGCACTATGCCACCAGAGCTCCCATTACCAGAGGATGGGGTTTGGTAAATTATTTTTTATCAGTACAATAAATTATACAACCCTTTAAAATAATTAAAACTGTCTGGAAACAAGAAAATTATGGAATATATGTGAATAAGGCAGGATACAAAATTATATACCTGTCTTTGTCTGTGCAGAGACCAGAAGGGCATATGAAGAGTGAAAATAGTTATGATGCGGTGGTAGGATTATGCATGAATTTATTTTTATGTTTAAGAAACTTCTTTCAAGCTTTACTAACAACTTTTTAAGAAAAATACTGTCTTTGTTTGGGTTCTTGCTTTGCCTAGGAGTTTGCTCATGTATCAATAGAGAGAAAATTCAGCGGAAATATTATAGCTGGGGTAGCCATGAAGGATCTGAGAGACCAGCTTGTCCCTCGTGGATCTAGATGGCAAGGTGGGAAAGTAAGGCACTTGTTCCAGGCATGGATCATGGATGTTGGGACAGCCTGGAGGGTCAGAGTCTGTGGCAATGTCTGGCTCCATCACAGATCAGCTCTATGCCATTGGATAAGTTGTCATACCTCTCTAGGCCTGAACCTTTATCTGAAAATGGGGCTAATGAGAGTACCTGGGTCAGAGTTTATGCATGTGACATGCTTAGGCAATGGTGAGCCTAAGGAAACCTCTGAAGTCAGTTGTTGCTACTATAATTGCTATCATTATCATCATCTTCATCATTGTTAATGAGATAGGACTGTACTTAGGGAAATGGTCATTGCTAATGTGATGGTCCATGGTGTGACTGGAAGGACTTGGAGATCCTTGGAGGGAAGAGATGAGGATAAGGTATGTAATGCACTTCTAGGAGCAGACTGGGTAGGATTTTTAATTACATGTATACATACCCACAGTTAGGAGGTCTGATGGTGCTGTGGTGAAAGCATCTGGCTACTAATGAAAGGTCGGTGGTTTTGAACCACAGGAGAAAGATGAGGCAATCTGGTTCTGTAAAGATTGACAGCCTTGGAAAGACTATGGGGCAGTTCTACTCTGTCTTATAGGGTCAGTATGGGTTGAAATTGACTCAAAGGCAGGTGAGTTTTTGGTTAGTTTTATTTCCAAGTTGTGAACAGCAGTTGTCAGATACTTTGAGTTGGAGAATGTTAGTAAAATGGGTGTTTTTAGATCATCTGTGTGGTGTTGGGATAGACTTCAAGGAAGACTCAAGTAGTGATCACTAGAGGTCCTTTTTTGGGAATGTGGTACAGTTTTAATTTCACAGATCCTAAATTTTGAGCTTTTTTTGTACATTTGATGGTTTGACACTCTATTACAATGCTTGTTTAAGTTAATAGCAAATCAGTATCTGAAGCAAAAAGAAAGCATTATTCCTATCACGTTTTAAATATAAAGATTTTGATATTAGATTTTAAAACTTATTTTATAGCCTCTGATTTGATATCGATGAAAGAAAAATGCCAACTGAAAAGGAAAACAATACTTTTCCAGAATAGAAATACATTACATAATTACTCAAAACATGGATAAACAGGAAAATGATGCATGACGACTCAGAGAGGCACCACTTCTATATTGTGCTGGACATCCTTCCATTCTTTCCATCTTACTTTGTTAGAGCTGGAGTCACTGCTGAATACATATTAAGAATTTTAGTGTCTCAGCTGCATTACATATCTTCTCCCAAGTCATTAAAAACTTCTGTCAACAGAATTTTTTGGCAGACTGACATCCCATTTCTCTGGATGTGGCTCACACTGCCCAGCCATCAGCTGTATTGGTGTATTTATGTTGTCTCCTTTCTTTTGCCAAAATAACAAAAATGAAGCAACACACGAATTTGAGTAAAAGGATTTTTCCATACTTTGGCTTATTTCTTTATAAATTTCTGGAACTGAGATTAATGAGTCAAAAATAAGACTATTTGTAAAGCTCTTTAGGTTGTCACCTTGATTTCCTAAAGGGCTGTACCAATAATATACTCTTTCACCAGCATTGAGAACAAGTACCTGGTAACAGGAATGTTAAAATCGTTCAAAGTAAGTAAGTTCTGGTGTTGGTGTTGCTTTATTTTGTTTTGCCTTTTTTGTCCCCTTCTCCCCAACCAGGATCCAACCTAGGTTCATACATTATAGTTTATTGCTATGTGTCTTTAGTCTCTTTTAATCTAGTACAGTACTTCTCAGTTGAGGTGGAGGGATTTTGCCCCCTGGGAACTTTGGCAATGTCTAGAGACATTTTTGATTATCACAACTGTAGGGGGTGCTATTGACATCTGTTGAGTAGAGATGATGCTTAACATCGTATAATGTGCAGGACAGCCTCCAAAACAAAGACCTATCTGGCCTAAAATATCAGGAGAAATAAAGGTTGGAAAGCCCTGATGTAGAACACTTTCCACTTTTTCTTTCTTTACTGACATTGACTGTTTAAAGTTTGCACTACTTTTCACTGTAGAAACTTTGTGTTTGTTTTATTCTGACCAGTGCTGATTCCTAAAGAAAAGCCTCCAATCACAGTTGTTGGAGATGTCGGAGGAAGGATTGCCATAATTGTGGTATGTTGACCTGTTATCATTACTACTTTTAATATTTTCTGTTAATGTCCTGTTGAGTTGTTGGTTACCTGTGTACATATAAAGTAGCCCATGGACGGTGTGTAGACAGCTGACTCTCGGTTAAATGGGTACATTGTGCTAAATGTTTACTTTGGTCCAAAACTTGAAAAGTATCATTAGTTTTTAAAAAGCAGAAAATATCATGCAGTTAATGTTATTGGTAGTAATGTGGGAAAGTTTTTTTGTAATAAAAGCAGGATATAAAATCTATTGTAACTGTTGAAAATGCACATCCTCTCACATTCTATAAAACCAGTGCATGAAAAGAGTATATTTAATGTTTACATAGTTTAAAGAATAATAGTATAATGAACATCTGGATACCCACCAACCAACTTAATTAGAACACTGCCTCTTCCTCTAGGCTTTCTTCTGATCTCGTTGTCCCCCAAAGTTGTCAGTAGCCTGAATATTGTTCATTCCTGCTCTTACTTGTCTTTATACCTTCCACACATGTACCCCTAAACACTTTGTCATTTCGTTTTGCATCTTTTGCTGATGATGGAAACAGTCTTTATGCCCTTTGTATCTTTTTTATTCCACATTTTTGTTGAGATTGATTATTTATCTATTCTGCATACATAGTCTTCTGCTATTTCCAAACAAGTTGGCTTTGTACCTTCTTGTGCTTATTTTCTGGTGCATATACATAAGCGGTTCAAGGGGCCTCGTGGCAGAGTTGTTTAGAAGGTACACATATTACAGCTTTCCTCATACCAAACCAAAATTACTGCCATCAAGACAATTTTTACTCATTGCAACCCCTATTGGGTTTCCAAGGCTGTAAATCTTTACAGAAGCAGACTGCCTCATGTTTCTCTGAAGAGTGGCTGGTGGGTTTGAACCACCAAGCTTTTGGTTAGCAGCCAAATGCCTTAACCACTACATTACCAGAGCTCCTTAACTAACAAAATATATGGTAACAAAAGGATGCTACGGATTCGGTAGCACTTCTTTTTTCCTTCCATTACAATGGCATTTTTTAAAAAATGCTTTATTTTGAAGTAATCATAAATTCACAGGGAATAGCACAGTGACAGAAACATGTGAATGTGCCATATGTCTAAGCTAAACAGACACTTTCACACACAGCAAGCTTGTCACAGTGATGTTAGTCAGATCCTTTCTTTTCCCCTGGTGGGCTACACTCATTTTGGCAGAAGTGTTCCCGTGCCTTTTGCTCAATCTGTAACTTGACAGGATGACATCATCGATGACGTTGACAGTTTTCTGGCTGCAGCAGAGACCCTGAAGGAAAGAGGGGCGTATAAGATCTTTGTGATGGCAACCCATGGCCTGTTATCTTCAGACGCCCCGCGGCTAATTGAGGAATCCGCCATTGATGAGGTACCAGTCTGTGCGTGGCTCATGCTGCCCTGGTGCTCCAGAGGTCTGAGCTGTAGTTACAGAGAACAGGGAGGAGAGCGGGCGACTGGGACTTACAGATGGCTTTGAAATGAGGGTTATATTTGTGTGTTAGTGAACCTAAGCTTTGTTCTTTTGCCTGTGGTCACAGTTAATAATCATAATGACTGTCATAAATGAATCCTTGCTCCTCGCTGGGCACCCTGCCACATGCTTTGAAAACACTGTCACAACCTTCGTCTTCTAGCCTGGGAAGGTTGAGGCTGTTACCCTTTTTATTGTTGTTGTTATGTGCCGTCGAGTCGGCCCCGACTCATAGCGACCCCTCCTTGGGTTTCCGAGGCAGTATCACTACGGAAGTAGGATTGCCCAACCTTCCTTCCGAGGAGTGGCTGGTGGGTTTGAACCGCTAGCCGTCTGTGTCTTAGCCACTATGCTACCAGAGCTCCCTTTTTATAGAGGTGAACAAATGGTGGCTCAGCAAGATTAAGGAATTTCTTGAGATCAGATAGTTACTAAAGTCAAGCATTTAATGGTTCAAACCTCTCTTCGCTGATGCCCAGGCCCAGCTCTTTCCATGCTGCAAATACCCATGGTGTCAACTGGAAATGAAGGTGAAGGGGACGGTGCTCTAGGTTGCCTCTGGTTCCCTGGTGTGACCAAATCAAGGCCAGACCGAAGAGGCATTTAAAAGCAGATACAGCTTTAACTTGCCCTGCTTTGTCTACCCCACTCATTTCAGAAGCCAACCAAGTAGTCATGGGATTTTTATTGTGTTAGTTACATTTTTAGTATTTCTTAAGAAATAGTGGTGGTTCTTACCCTGAGACCAGAAGAACTACTACTGACCATTCTGATCAGGGCCACAATAGATGGTTTCTGGTGGAATAGGAGAAAAATGTGAAACAGAACATCAAATTAAAAAAAAAAAAAAAAAAACCCAAACGAGACTTACTGGACCAGTTGAGACCGGCAGACTCCCTGAGACTGTTGCCCTCAGATACTCTTTAAGCCTTAAGCCAAAACTTACCTCTGAAGTCACCTTATAGTTAAATAACAGATTGGCTTACAAAATAATGACTATCACCTATGAGTCATTTAAAACAATCACCTTTAAAAAAATCATTTCTGTGAAACCAAAATGATCAACAGTTACTTTCAAACAAACATAAGCATAATAGGGAAACTAGATTAATGGAAACAGAACAGCCAGAATGGAAATACTGAGGATATGCATGAATTGTGAAGAATGTAACCAGTGTCATTGAACTGTTTTTATGGAAATTGTTGAATAGGAAGCTAAACTGCTGTGTAGAAACAATAAAATACTATTTATTTTAAAAAGAAAGAAATAGAAGTTGCTGTCACCTATATGGAGTTCCTGGGTAGGGAAAATGGTGAAACACTCAGTTGCTAACTGAAAGGTTGGCAGTTCAAGTTTACTCAGAGACAGTCTACTGGAGATCTACTTCTAAAAAGTTAGCTATTGAAACCCTTTGGAGCACAGGTCCAGTCTGACACCCATGATGTCACCATGAGTTGACTCAACAGCAACTGGTATAACTGGTCTCCTGTATATTCCTGAGTATTGATTTTTTTTTTTTTTTAAATAATAATATGTTTCCAGCAAAGATTTGCATAGCAGCTTAGGTTCCATTCAACAATTTTTATAGAAGTTTTTTAGTGACATTGGTTACATTCTCACAATGTATTTTCATTCTGGTTTTTCTGTTTCCATTAATTAGTTTTCTCTGTCCCCTTATATTCTTTGTTTTAAAGTAATTGTTGGTCATTTTTGTCTCATATAGGTAGTTCTTTTAAAGGAGCACAATACTTAAGTGTGATATTCATTATTTTTTGAGCCAGTTGTTATTTAGCTACAGGGTGACCTCAGATTAGGTTTGGTTCAAGTTTGAAGAGTGTCTTGGGGCAGTATTCTTGAGGAGTCCTCCAGCTTCAACCAGTCTAGTAGATCTGTTTTTGTTGTTGTTGTTGTTGCTTGTTTGTTTGTTTTGGAATTTGAGGTTCTGTTCCACATTTTTCTCACATTGTATCAGTGTCCATCTTTTGCCCTGATTATACTGGTTGGTAGTGGTGCTGGTCACCGTGTAGTTCTTCTGGTCTCAGGGTAGATGATAGGCCATGGTTCGTGTAGACTATTTGTCTTATAAAGTTTCTTCTTTGAGCCTTTATTTCTCTTTTGCTCCTTAGTAGAGACCAATAGTTTTATCTTAGATGGCTACTCGCAAGCTTTTAAGATCTCACGAAGTATTGAATCTTAAATTAGTCAAATTCCTTTTGCTTTTCCAAGTCCCACAGTTTTACTTCTTAACACTAGGTCTCTGTGGTAGTTAGTTAAAGTTGTATGTCAGCTTGTTTGGGCCTGTTTGAGTGGCTGGGTACCTGGTGGTAGTTATTCCCCATGATGAAACTGGCAATCAACTCCATGGTGGGATCTACCACAAGCAGCTGAGTAGCTGCTTCAGGGATGTAGTCCACTTCCTGTATATAAGCAGCAGCTTTGGGAATGGTCTCTAGTTTATGGCACGCTTGAACCCTGCACGTAGCCGTGTCGTTGTTCAGCAGCCTGCCATGCTCTGCCAACCTTGGAACTTTCAGTGGACTTGAATCAATGGCCTGCTGTGTGGTTTGGTAACATTAGGACTGTGCCTTTTTACTTGTCAACCTTGGGCTTGTCAGCGTCAGCAGCAAGCAACTGGAGCAGGCAGCTCTAGTGGGCCAGGAGCTAGACGCAGAACTGAAGCCCCAGGTTGAGGCGTTTTCACCCAGCCCCTAGAGCCTGGCACTCTGAACTTGGACTAAAGTCTCCAAACTGTAAGAGAATAAATTCCTGTTTGTCCAAGCATCCCATTTGTGATACATTCTTGTTGGAGCAGCACTAGGTAACCGAAACAGTCTCCTTGATTTTGTCCCTTACTTTACCATCTTTGAGCTGAAAGACAGTCGAGCACAAACAAGGACAGGCTTGCGTGGCCTTCTCACTCACTTGGACCAAACATAACTAGGAAGCAAGAATGAAGTTAGAGACTCTCAAGGTGACAAGATCAGGGTCTGAGAATTCAAGTATTAAATGAAGTGGGAAGACTTTTCAGGCACAAGAATGCCCTGCTTTAGCCTGTCCACTCACCACCAGAGTTCTCACTGGCATCCTCTCTGCTTTGTACAAGCAGGTGAGAAAGAGCACATTAGAGGATGTAGAGGTGACAGCTGGCGGCAGGTCCTCATCAAGTACATTAGAGTTTGGAGTGGAGGTGTAAACACCAGGAGCAGACATAGTTGAAATCAAGTGTAGTAGGCAGAGGCTCTTCAATGTAGGTACCTTTGTACTCTTATAAGGGAGTTTATTGATACTCAACAGTAGTTACTTGGGTCAGTAATTAATAGCTAAACCATGATTAGTATGTTCATTGTTGAGGAAGTTAAGGTGGTTTTCATATAAACTTACAGAGAAAGCATAGTTACACAGCAGATTATAACCAATGTGGAAGCAATAGCACAATCGGCAAGTGAGGAGGGAGGAGAGGTGGAGAGGTGCTAATTGCTTTGTCTATCAAAGTAGGCAAAAAAAGTAGATAGTGCTTGGGATGACAAATCACGAAATCAAAGGGTTTTGTCTTTGTTTTATTTAAAGTGGTTAAATGAGATATGGAAAAACTAATAACTAACTTTATATGGAAAGGAAAGAGACCTCGGATAAGCAAAGCACTATTGAAGAAGAAAAACAAAGTAGGAGGTCTCACACTGCCAGATCTCAAAA